TGAACGACTGCTCATCTATTAATTTTGATTTTGCACATAACCCTGTCTAGGCAGAGATTAGAATTGTGATTCACTTTGATCTTTCCCTTTCCATTTTGCCTTCACGCATTTTCAGAGAGTGATAAATGATAAATCTAAAGGTGAGCTTCGCTATCGTTTGGCTTCTCATAGAGAAAGGACTGGTCATTTCTTTTGTTTGTCATCCATTAACATAGAGGTGTTTTTCTGCAGTTTCATAAGGGGGTTTTATTTTAATTTATTTATGTATTTATTTATTTTGACTTGTATGGGGAACACTAGTTCATTCAATCTAGATGGTTGCATAGTGTCGCTACTATGACTTTGCTTTGAATTCGGCTATTTAGGCTACTTCATTATTGTTGCTCATTAATATTTTCAATTGCAGGTTTTTAAGTTAGTATGATAGAATCACAGTGGTGCTATAAGTTACAGCCCTGCTAATTCTGAAAATTTTTGGAGCCACATATTCTCGCATCTACAATACTTTTGATCTTTTGATACAGTCCAGAGTGAGCCTAGTTGATAATCCTCCTCTTTGTCGCTGCTGCATTTATTCTTTGTTGGAAGTTTGGATCTGTTAAAAATGAAAGAGATTGACAAGAGAAAAACTCCTATTAAGAACCAGAGTAAACGAGCTCCTAGAACAGAGAGGAAAGAACGCAGACCACATCAAGAGAATATTAGCAAAACTGTGAATGCTAAAGAAACCACACACAAGGCATTGGCTACGAAGTCAAACAATTTAGTAAGTGAGTCAAACGCCGGCATGAAACCATTAGAGGTTCATCAAAGCTCAGATGCAGATCATGTTTCTGATGCCAATAAGTTTGAGGGGATAAATCAAGATTCTAAAGCCAATGTGATTGCTGTTAGAGAGAATGTGAATGGTGTTGTAGAAGATAAATGTACTGCGTTGGAGAAAGATCTGAATCACAGGGAGGAAGAAGTTTCTGATTCAGAGACGAAGGCGTATTTGGTTTCATCAAAAGGTGATTCAATAACAACAAAGGAGGAGAGAGTAGAAAGAGAGTCAAATTTTCCTGAAGATGTTCTAGAAGATAACAGTTCAGATTGCTCTCTTCACAACTCAAGTGAACAATTAGACCGTGGTATTAATCAATCACAGTCCAAGGAATTATCTTTTACTTCAAAGAAAACAACAAATTCTGATAGAGACCTTCCCGGAATTAAAAACAAAAAGTCTTCTAAAGGAAATGCTAGGGGTGCAAAAATTGTGCCTAAACCTTCATCAGAATCTTCTGAAGGAACTGATTACCAGATTGTTGATGTGGTAAAGGATATTGAGGTCTTGGATGAGGCTATAAATGGTGTACAGAGCATTAGAAATGGTCCTGATACCAATGGTGACCACGATGATCAAATTGCTTGTGAACAAAAAATTGAAGAAATGGAAAAAAGAATTGATAAACTTGAAGAGGAGTTGAGAGTTGTTGCTGCTCTTGAAATGTCGCTTTATTCAGTGGTACCAGAGCATGGGAGCTCCGCACATAAAGTGCATACGCCTGCTCGACGCCTGTCTAGAATTTACATTTATGCCTGCAAACACTGGTCTCAAGACAAGCGAGCCACAGTTGCAAAGAATATTGTATCAGGGCTAGTTTTAATTGCTAAATCATGTGGGAGTGATGTTCCAAGGTATATTTGCTATTATATTATCACAGTTAATTATTATGAAGTGCTGTTGAGTGGTGAAAATTAACAGAGGAAATTAACAAATTCCTTGGCTCTTTCAGGTTAACCTTCTGGCTATCAAATACTATTGTCATGAGGAAGATAATATCTCAAACATTTAGCAGCATCCATAGCTCAAATTCAGTGAAATGTTTTGTTGATTCCAACAACAGTAGCCGGAGAAATGGTGGGAAGCCAATAGCTGTTCAATGGATGAATAGTTATGGCAGTAAACAAGTAAATAAATATATGCAGTGTGTAGAGGATTGGCAAGAGACAGGAACTTTTATGGCTGCATTAGAAAAAGTTGAATCCTGGATCTTTTCTCGGATTGTCGAGTCTGTTTGGTGGCAGGTATAGTAGACCATTATGTTATTTTATATATTATAATCTTGGTAATATTAGACTGGTGAATACTTCAATTTACTTTCCTTGTCACAGTCTGATTTGATGCCTTTTCGTCAATATCGTTATGCTTATATCTCTTTGTTCCGCAAAATATATTTTCAGTCTTTAACACCAAATATGCAACCTCGAGACGCATCCAAAAACAAAAGCAGGGAGCGGATAATGGGACCTCCCCTGGGTGATCAGCAGCAAGGGAACTTTTCAGTTAACCTGTGGAGAAGTACTTTCCAGGATGCTTTTCAACGCCTCTGTCCTGTTCGATCAAGCGGTCATGAGTGTGGTTGTCTTCCTGTTCTTTCAAGAATGGTAAGTTTTATTCAATAAAGAAGAGTAGAATAAAATTACTTAAAGCTGCCATTTCATGGGGGTCGTTAGAATATGATTCCACTTTTAAACTTGTTCCAATTTCAACCACTAAATTTTGGAGAATAATTCATATCCAATCTCGGATCAGGTTATGGAACAGTGTGTTTCCAGGCTAGACGTGGCCATGTTTAATGCTATTCTCCGTGAGTCCGCCCATGAGATTCCTACGGACCCTGTCTCGGATCCTATTGTTGATGCCAAGGTTCTTCCCATACCGGCTGGAGACCTGAGCTTTGGATCCGGTGCACAACTAAAAAATTCTGTATGTACCATTCTCATCGCACGCTTTATAATTTCAAACTTCATGAAATGTTGGAAACTAGCAGATGCTAAATTGATGTGGGCTGCTCGTGATGCAGGTTGGAAATTGGTCGAGATGGCTAACTGACATGGTCGGTATTGATGCTGATGACTCTTCAGTAGATCAACATGGCAGTGACGACGACATTAGACCGGATGTAGATGGAAGGCCCCAATCATTTCCTCTACTTAATTCATTGAGTGATCTCTTGATGCTTCCAAAAGACATGCTTACAGATCGTTCAATCAGAGAAGAGGTCTTTTTCAACCCCAAGTGTCCAAGTTTGTTTGACATTGTTAATTACTTATTCAACCATTTCTTTTGTGTTCTCTAGGTATGCCCGTCGATTAGTCTTCCGCTGATTACAAGGATACTCTGTAATTTCACTCCAGATGAGTTCTGCCCCGATCCCGTTCCCGGAACTGTCTTGGAGTTACTTAATGCTGAGGTAAGATGAACTTTTCTTGTTCCAAAACTTTATGCTAGGATATCTCTAGATAGCTTTGAGCTGTTGAGTTTTGATGTCTTTTTATCATTATTATGAACTTGTCATTGTATTTTCACCTGAACAGAATATAGTCGAACGAAGATTGTCGGGTTACTCGGGCAGGAGCTTCCCGTACATAGCTGCTCCGGTTGTCTATATTTCTCCTTCGACATCTGATGTGGCAGAAAAAGTTGCAGAGGCTGGAGGAGGAAAATCTCACTTGGAAAGGAACATCTCTGCAATTCAGAGGAAAGGATATACGAGCGACGGAGAACTAGAGGAGCTGGATTCTCCTCTCTCGTTGATTGTCGATAAATCGACCTCATCTCCAACGTACAATGCTCATGGAAATGACCGACATGAAGGGGATACGATGTTTATATCCAGCAACATGAGGTACAAACTCCTTCAAGAAGTATGGTCTTAATGATGAATTCCCAACAAATGAGTGATGTATGTATTTTATTTACAACACATATAGATTGTTACTTTGAATTTGAATAAGAAAAATACAAAATACAAAATGCAAATAGAAAATAGAATTTCAGGTCATGTGAGCCAAATTTTCTTGTATATTGGATTCAAGTATTTGCTGTTATATAGAAATCTTGAACAAACTTACATTCCATAACAACCATGTAAGTTCATATTTGGTATAGAAGAATCTCATTTCCAAGATCAAGGATATGTTATTAATAGGCTAAATCCAAGTTTGGCTTTTGGATCATCCATGGTTATGTTCTTTTCTACATTTCTCTATTTAAATTTAGCGGACTAAAAATCACCCGTTAAGTAATGTTGCGTGGGTTAAGTATGATGATTGTCACTCTAGCTTGGTTTAAACTTTGTTTGATATAAAGGGATCAACAATGATTGCTTTTGAGTTTTGCTCTCAGAATCTATGCTTACGTAAATCGGGTTCTAGATTCTTCCCTCAAACTCTCGGAGTGGTATTTCATATGTAAAGGTAGTCTAAAGTCAAGTCAGGATTAGGGTAGAGGGTAGTTGTTGCGGATTTTATGATTCTTTGGCAACGTCATGGATGAACCTAATTTTCTCGCAGTTATACGAACCTACTCAATCAACAATTAACTAGGATTGATAAGAAATCAGACTATATTTGATATTTTGACAATTGGTTTTACATTACCTTTTCTCACAACTTTTTTTTAAAAAATTACTATTTCATCGATTTTTAAATTTTAGTTTTTTTTATTTATTTTTATCACGAATGACTTCGGTAGCTTTGTTTCAAAGCAAAGCAATCGAACTTGTTCAGCTATTTTGGAAAATCGATTTTTATTATTATTATTTTTATGCCATGAGCTCTCACATTTATAAGGTCAACACGATCAAATGCTTAATTAACAAAGAAAAATTACTCAATAGACATATACCGGACAATATAGAAACAATATAAGTTCAAACAATTAGTATGGTCGTGCTAGTGATTTGGTTAAGAAATCTATTACTTTTGATAATCTTCAAAACATGAGCCATTTCAGTTTTATATGACGATGAAAAATATATACAAAACAAGGACCGATGAGTGAGAGGAGAATGAAAGAAAACAAACGATCATATTGATTCATTACAATTCAACTGAGTCTTAGAGTCTAACTGGACCTATTTGAAATGGGTTGGGACCCAGCTTCAAAAAAAAAAAATAATAATAATAATAATAAATAATTGTGATTAAATTTGTAAATATAAGAATTTTCGTTAAAGAAGGTAAAAAGATTTTATATTGGGAAATTTGTAATCTAAAGAGGAAATTGTGAGTGAAATTGATGAAACTTGGAAATGTGGTTGAAACTGGAAGCAATCATGATGGAACTACTGAAGCTTCATCGCAGTATGTAGCTTTAGACTCTAGAGTTCAAATTCTCAAGAACACTGAACTTGCGAGATCGCCTTACCATCAACAATCAAGCTTTGAGTTCTGGAATTTCTGAACTGACGCTGCGCGGTTGTAGAAATGGCGTGGAGTCTGATCTTTTGGTTCGTCTCTTTCTGTATCAACATCGCACTTCTCGTCCTCAACTTTTACCAGGTACACCCTTTCTAATCTCTCATAAACCCTAGTTTTCACGATCAAGTTACAGATTCTTTTGCGAGAAAGTTTGAATGCGTCTGCTGAAACGTAGCCCTAATGTTGTTGTTGTGTTTGTTTTGTTGTAATCTTGTTGTTGCTTATTCAGTAAGCAGTGGAGGTTTGATGCATATCTTAGATTCGGATTCGGTTTTCTTGAAGAGAGCATTTCGACTTCAATTTTATTTACGTTTATATGTGACCTAGATTTTGATTGATGGAACCTTTACACTTTCGTTGCGCCTACTTTTGAAATAGATTCAATACCTACTTACTGTTCCACCGCTCTCTTAGTTTCATAATTTTACGGTGATGAGTTTGATATCTTGATCAATCGTGCACTGTTAGCCGAAGTGAACGTATTCACAAAATGACATATCTACCTGTGAAATAACCGGCCACTTCCATGGAATGGATTGATCATTTCCTTTTGCATCTGAGTCAACGATGTACTCTTACCTTGTTTTGTAGTCTCCAGAGAAGTGGCTGTATATGTAACTTGTTGGGATAAAAGATTGTAAATGTATTTCAACCATGAAACGGGCTTCAATTATTATAGTTGATTATACTCTAATAACTGGTTCTTGATGCGGATGGAAGTAAAAGTGATCCCAATTCCTGCGGGTTATGTCTGGGACATCAATAGATTGTTGGCTTTACTCCCATTTCGTTTAATATGATGTACAGTGGCAGGAGGAGAGAAGTAATTGCTCTTATTTTCTTTTGAACCATGACGATTTGTCCTCTCTATTGCTTGTATTCTTATAGACTTGATGAATGTTAAGATTTTACACTTGTAGATGAACATCACTAGCCATTGCAAAGAGTAATATTTATTGTCTAGTTACATCTGTGCTTTTAAGTTGGAAGCATCTAATGGTTGTGGTTGACCTTTTTTTGTAGCTCTTGGTATTAACGGATTTGGAGGCAGATTATTTGAACATCTATGATTCATCATCTCGCATTAACAAACTTGTCGTTCCAGAGTTTTTGGTGCAAGGACTGTTTTGCTCTCTTTTCCTCTTCACAGGCCACTGGTTCATGTTTCTTATAACCGTCCCTGTTAGCTGTTATCACATAAATTTGTAAGTGTTTCTTGACTCTGAAATAAGGCCTGGTATATATTTTCTTTTACTGTGTGCTATGGATGAGACCTATTGGTGGCGTTCTTTGTTGATTTTCCCCTTCTACTGTCTGGAAGTGTTATGTATGAGGCTTATGATGTCCCTTACTTGTAAAATGAATCTAGCTTGCACTCATATTATATATACTTTATTCTTTTGTTATGGAAAAAAGCATTATGCATTCTTTTTACTTTCTTAATACGCTTTGTTCTATTATCAAACACCATTCTTTTAGATGAATGTATATAGTGAAAACTTCTTGGTACGGTTAGAAACATCGAATATTCTCACTCTGAATGTATATAGTAAAAACTTCTTGGACGATGTTAATGGTAAACCGATTAACCTGGTGCCAATTATTGCTTTCGTCATTTTTTCTGAACATTCTTATTCCATGTAGCTATCCCAGTACAAGACTCAAATTTAATTCCATTACACAGGTCCTCCATCTGCGGAAGTATGCCAACTTATTGTTTGAAACTTTTATCCCACATAAGTCTTTAATAAATTTTTGGTGATCGATGACCATCTACTACTGGTCATTTTTTAGAGTAAAACTAAAACTTAGTAATGTAGGATGGTTAACAGGATAAAGAAAAAACAAGGAAAAAAGAAAATGAATTATGTTCCACTACTTGGACTGAGTTTCTTTCTAGTATTTCTCCATGTTTTGTGTTTATGATGAATTATCCTGTTACAATGCCCCAGGTTCTTGAAGAGGGAGCATCTTATTGATGTTACTGAGGTGTTTAAAACTCTAAAACGTGAGAAGTATTTTCGTTTTGCCAAGCTTATCTTCTACTTGCTTCTGTTCCTCGTAGTAATCTTCAGGTTAGTCTGAATTTTTGCTTGCGTCATTCTGCTTTTCTTCTTAACTATTTTGAAGGTTGGATATTTCTGATTGAGGTTTTCCTTGCTGTTTTCTGTATAGAATAATAATGGTAGCGGGAATGAAATCTGTTTTTGACTCTGCACCTGAGGATATAGACATTCGCTCCACTGTTCTCGAATTCTAGAGTATTTATTTAACCAACTAGCTTAAAGTCGAATCCATCCTTTGTTTTGAAATACGTATACGATTACATGGAAAATAGTCAACTTATTTATTGATTGCAAAGTTCTTAAAGATAATGATGTTACACTGACTTGGGATTGTTTTGTTGGTTTTGGAAGCTATATACCATTACTCTCTGTTCTCTTGACGCCTTTTAGTACCTTGTTAGTAATGCATTATTGCAAGTTTTTGGATTTTGCTCTGTTTGATCCAAATGTTGTCTCTTTCTAACCTTTTCTAGTCCCAATATTTTCTATAAATTAACTTAGAATGTCCAATACATATTTTATGTTAAAAAATGTAGCTTTGTTTAGTTTTATGGTCGACTCCTATGCTTCTTGAGTGAGATCCTGGTACATGTGCACTTGCATACACATATTTTCGCCTCTCTTACTGGCATTCTTACATGTATTGAATTAACATGCAATGCAGGCTTACCTTGTCTGCTTTCAACGCATTATCTGATGAAGACGACGTCCTACATTTATTTTGATTACGATTCTCTTACTCGAAGTTTGTATTACGGGTTCTATAGCATGTCTGTGGTTGGTATTTGTTTGGGAAGTTACACGCAAGGAAACAAATTTGAACAAAGCAACTTCGAACATACAGGTTTTTCCTCCCATATTCCCATTCTTTGCTTTGGTTGGCTCCTCTAGCATTCTCGTAGACTTTGACCCAAGGAATGCTTGTATGTAGAGAGGATTGAAGTTCATAGATTCTCCAGTTTAAAATGATATGATTGTAGAATGAGTTTTAGCATTGTAAGCATATTGTTCAATTAGTTGACATGTGATTTGTTTGGTTACTTGACAACTTACTGGTAATTTTCAGGGTTCTCCAAGTTTAGAGTCCCATTTCTTTGCATGTTTTTGAAATATCAGATTGAGTTAGCCAATTTTTAGTATTTTCACAATTTTTTTTAATTTTTTTTATTGTCAATTTCATCTCTGAATATCTTCGAATTTACATGTTAGATGCCAGCAAAGCCTCTTGGAAGAGTGAGAATTTTGAGCGCAGAGAAGTAAAGAAATTGTGTTCGAAAATGAAACATTAACAACTTGAAGCTTTGAGCTGCTCTTTCTTTGATGGTCTTGTTAGGAACCACAGATCTCACAATAGTATGATATTGTCCACTTCGAGCATAAGGTCTCATGGTTTTGCTTTTAGATTTCTCAAAATTACACGTACCAATGGAGATGATGTTCCTTATTTATAAATTCATAATCTTCTCCCTAATTAGGGGACTACTCCTCTCGACAGGTCTACCCTAATTCTTAATACTAAATTCATATGGCGTCACCTACTCTATTGACTGGATCTATTGTTGGTACATATTCATTGCCCAACTTGTTTCTCGGACGCAAGGTTATGCACTTCTCTTCTTGGATAATATTTTCTTCAAGTCATCAAACCTTCAACATGCCCATCTAATGCAAAATACTTATTAGGAACGACACAATAATTATACAATTTATGAAGTTTTTCAATGTAAACACTGCATGCAACACATATCATGCTTCTATTTACGTTTAATTAAGTGCATTGAGAGTAACATTAGAATATATGATATGAATAAACTGAGATTACAACGGAGTGAAACTACATCTCCAAACTAAATATCGAAGATCAAAATTATTAAAATTGTCGGTAAAAAAAAAAAATAATAATTAAATGTGTTTATAAACAAGATTAAACCTAGAAAGCTTCCCTATGGAACTGAGCTTCTCAAAACGACGACGCTTTAGTTTGTCAATAGACTACAAGATCAAACACAGGGCTTAACATTGTCTCTCTCTCTCTCTCGCTCTTCTCTTTCGCGCTCGCTGGATCGCTCACAAGAGTCGCTGAAATCGAAACCAACTCAAAATGCCGTCGCCAACGCCCTTTGCAACCGCCTCAAATATGCTCCGGCACCGCCTTCTCCCTTCTCTCAGGACCCGCGGTGGCGCCGCCACAGGCCAGAGCCGGTGGACCAGTCCCGGCCACGAGGAGAAGCCAAAGGGCTATCTTTTCAATCGTACGCCGCCTCCGCCAGGTCAGTCCCGTAAATGGGAGGATTGGGAGCTTCCTTGTTATGTTACTAGTTTTCTTACTATCGTGATTCTTGGCGTTGGCCTCAACGCCAAGCCTGATCTCACAATTGAGACTTGGGCTCACCAGAAGGCCCTAGAGCGTCTTGAGATGGAGAATCTGGCTATGTCTGGCTCTGGATCATCTGAATCTGATTGAATTTCGTGATTCTTATGCGCTTTCTGGAACTGGGTTGTTTGATTTTCATTCCACCGTTGAAAAGGGGTTTCGGTTCTATGGTGGGATTTATGAGATGCTGTCGATATTTTGTAGTTCAATAAGTTTTTTCCTAAATGTGCCATTGGCTCTTTTGGACCTTCAATAACAGTTCTATTTTAATCGTTAGTTTTGGACATATTTGGCGTGGTATATGTCGAGCACTTGAATTTTAACCCTTCGATATGTTTCAATTCAGTTGCCAATGTTGAGTTATGTATACGAATTTCCTAAAAATTTAGTTCTGTTGGATATCTTATGGCCGTGATCATCGTGGCAATCTCTATTTAATTCCTTTTTGTTTATCCATCTTGATTTTGTTCAATAACTATGTACAATGCCCTGCGATGGATAATATGTTGTTCAAATACAACTGATGTTATTAGATTTTGTGTTCTCTTATTGTTTATCTCGTTGCTCATGTTATCTTTCTTTTACTTTTGTAGTTTTTTCAAATCGTTGTGCTTTCATCCCTTTCAATTTCATCCATTTAATGGCTAATGAGTTAGTGTTTTGTGCAATATTTCTTTTATCATTTACTATTTGCAAGTTCCCTATGAAATTTCTTGTTTCTAATCATTTGATACTTGTGCCATCTGAATTGAATGTTGGCCCCTCTAAAAGTGGGGATAGTTCGTATAGTGATGAGCATATTGTTTACATAGTAACTGAATGGTCACTCTGGAGACTTCCTTTGTGTAGTAATTACTGGTGTAGATTCATTCTTTCGATATATGTCGCATTTGTCACTGAGTGACCTTCCTTAGTAGAGGGTGTGTTTCTTTCTTTTTTTTTTTCTCTTTTTTTTTTGATGAATTTGGGTGTGGCATGGATAACGAGCGAAGCGTCTTCAGACACCCTTCCATTGATTTTATAGTTTGAATCTACATTTTGTTGATATATAGTATTATTTAAACTTTTGTATGTGTGCTCTTCCTTTCTTTTCGAAGGCTCAATTAGTGATCCTTGACCCTAGGTCTCCATCCAGTCTTTCTAGAATAACTGAGAGCTTCAAGATATTTGGGGGTTCTGTAGATGACAACAAGGAAAAGAGAATATTTGATACTAGATCGTTTCGAATAAAGACAGCACGGACCTTCATGGCTGGTAAAAGTACATGCTTCTAATGTTTGCCTTATAGCCCTTGGTTTTCCATGTCCAAGCGTTATATTTATTTAACTACCGAGTTCCTGAAGGGTAGGTTTCATGAACTTGGTTCGATTTTGAGAGGACTTATGGGTTGGTGAGGAGCTCTTTTGTGTTCTTTTCCTGGGCTTTTTGTGTTTGCTGGTGTTCTAACTTTAGATGCTACTCAAATGTACTTGGAAATTGGAACCTGGGTTTTAGTTGCAACCTTTTCTGTCCAAAGAGTTTGAAGTCTTATTCAGAGTAATTTGCAAGGGAAAACACTAAAAAAGTATTGATCTTCATCTGAACTCGTGCTCATGAAGGAGTAACGACTGAGTCCTAACTGGTGCCTGCCCTCAATAAGTACTCTATCCTAAATCATGCCCACTTTTTAGAAAAGTTGAATCTATCTATTGTATCTTTGTTCTGTTGCCTTTTACATAGGCGATCACTCACCAGCCTCCTCTTTACTTGCTTCCCCACCACCCTTTCAAGGAGAAGTTCTAACTCTTGCGGTTTGATGTGTCCTACTCATAGGACATGCAGTAGGAGGTAGAAGATATGGCAAGAAGTTTGAAGGGTAAGGGAAAAACGGTTAGTAGGCAATGGTTATTGTTGGGGAGTGTGAGTATTAGTTATTGGGTGTGAGATCCCACATCGGTTGGAGAGGAGAACGAAACATTCCTTGTAAGTGTGTGTAAACCTCCCCTAGTAGATACGTTTTAAAACCTTGAGGGAAAACACAAAGAGAACAATATCTGATATTGGTGGGCTTGAGTTGTTACAAATGGTATCAGAGCTAGACACTGGGCGGTGTGCCAGTGAGGATGTTGGCCCCAGAGGGTGGATTGTGAGATCCCACATCGGTTGGAGAGGAGAATGAAGTATTCTTTATAAGGTGTGGAAACTCTCCCTAAGAGATGTATTTTAAAACCTTGAGGAGAAGCCTAAAAGAGAAGATAATATTTGTTGGCGGTGGGCTTGACTTGAGCTATTACAAAGTTGTAGTACCTTGATGATGTGAAAGAAAAATGATGTAAATCAGTCAGATCGCAAGAATTTTGCGATCTTTGCTCGTGTCTTGTAAGAAATCAGTACTGTCGAAAACCCTATGTAGAAAATAATTCAGACATAACGGCTAGATAAGGTTTGGACTAATTTCCTTGGTGTATATAAAATAAATATTGATTCCTTAAGTAACTTATATTGTTCTTCATGCCAATGGATAGCATTTTTGTGATCTTCTTGGCATTGAAGGTGAGATTTGTTCCTGTCCTCTTTTCATGTGCTTATTAGTTTGATCCATGTGTTATATTTCTTGTGTGTCTGTATAGAATGTAACGTGCATACACTGTTTGAAGGGTCTTTTTGCTGTGTGGAGTTCTCTGCGAACCCGAACGCTAATATAGCATCCTCAAAAACGAACTCTCCCTTGTACTTGTTGCCTAGTGGTGGGTACCCAGTAGTATACTACACAATATAATTGTAACAGCTCAAGCCCTCTAGCCCACCACTAGTAGATATTGTCATCTTTAGAGTTTCTCTCAAGGTTTTTGAAACGTGGTCGGCTAGGGAGAGGCTTTCACACCATTATAAATAATATTTCGTTCTTTTCTTCAATTGATATGGGATCTCACACTTCACCCTCTTTGGGTCCAGCGTCCTTGTTAGCATCACACGTTCCCTTCTCCAATCGATGTGGGAGCCCCCAATCTATAATCACTTCGGGACTAGCATCCTTATTGGCACACCGCCTCGGGTCCACCCCCTTCGAGGCTCAGCCTCCTTGTTGGCACACTGGTTGATAAAGATCAAATGCAATCAGTAAAGACCAAAAGTTCAAACCTGTTGAAACGTTTCGGGTTCGAATTCAGCAAAGCATGGGACTTGGGTTGTTTGTTTAGCGAAGCATGTGGCGAATCTGACAAAAGGGAAAAAGTAAAAGAAAAGAAGACAGAAAAGTGCTCAAAATTGCTTTTTCATGAGAACTTTGGTCAG